GAAGAAGAAGAACTCTCTCTCTCTCTGTGTCCAGTACTAACCTGTGAAGTTGGCGCCTTGATGCAGGTACCACGAAGATGGAGCTGGAGCGATGGCCCCACAGGTAAGTAACACTGGCCTCCGCCAGTCTCTCTCCCACTCTGCGATCTACCACCTACCAGCGCCCAGCGCTGAAGACTACAGCTACAGCTATGGCGCCCAGCGCCGAAGACTACAGTTAGCGCTACCACTACTGCCTACCGCTGAAGACTACTGCAGCGCTCCTCCCGAGTGCTGCGGCCGATATCCTGAAGACTACCTCGTGCCTACTGAACTACCTACCCGTGAAGTGCATGGGAACTTCCTATGTACTACGGGTGTGCCTCCTGAGCCTGCCGAAGGGAGGCAGGGGCTGCAGCTGCAGCTCCTGCTCAACTCGTGAGGAACAGGCTATTTCTGGCCTGTTCCGCATCCCTGTTTACGTGCCTGAGTCTTAGGGGCAGGTCGAAACCATGAGGGCCTGAAAATGGCCCTCCGTTTCAGGCTGAAAACTCTGGGTCTGAAAAGACCCAGAAATAGGTTGAAACGGGGTAGGGCCTGCAGGCCCTCGTTTTTCAGCATCCAGGCTGAAACGAACGGGGCCTGTAAGCCCTAAGTTTTAGGCTTTTAGGCTGAATGTCCGGGACGGGCCCTGCAGGGCCCGTGTGGCTACGCAGTATGCCACACTAGTGAACTCGGACAGGAATTCGGGAACTCTAGGAAGCTAATGCCACAGCACTTTGGTTCATGGGAAGCGTTAGTGTTGGATATTGTGGGTAGTGATTTGGATGGTCCCTCGTACATCATAAGAGTCTCTGGTCATCTGCGCACTTACCCTGTATTTCATGCTTCAAACCTTGCACCTTTCGCTGAAACTGATGATTTTTCATCGAGAAGATCAATGATGCCCCCAACCATGGATGACCATGTGGATAACGACGACATCTTGGAACATAGAGACTTGCCTGTTCCCAAGCCTGCGGGCAGGGGAAGACCGCCAAAACCTATGAGGGAGTACCGGGTCAGATTCAGGCATCATACAGATCCGAAAGAAGATGGTTGGTTCACAAAAGAGGAGCTCGTCAGAACAGCACCTCAGATCGTGGCAGAGTATGAAAGAAAGTTAAAGGGGAAGGCACCTGAGGTAGAAGCATCTCAGCGGAGTTTTGAAGCTAAGGGGGATGGAATGCAAGGATTGAGCCCCGCGAGGCCCTTTCGAGCATGCAAATGTGCTGGGCTGCGGCCCCCGGCAAGCCTTGTGCCCGCCCTAAGTGAAGGCGGGCCTGTCCATTTCGCATTTTTTGTATGTGGGGCATCAGACAGTTGCTGCACGCCAGTCAGTTACAGAGCAACGTGAGCCTTCTTTGGCTCCTTCCAGAAGCAACAGCTACGCTGTACAGTTGAACCCAGGGCTCAGGTGGTTGTGCCCTGGGCACAGGCAGTGGGAGGCCGACACATCTCCCAGTGCTTGCGGGCCAATGAGAATGCAGCATTGTCCTCAAACATCTACCACGAGCCAATGAGAAAGCGGCAAACACTTGGAGTCTGAACGGCTACCCAGACATGCCTAACTGCACAAGGCCCAGTCCAGTATGTGAAACTGGGCCTGGGCACAGATACTTTGGGCCAGCCTGAAGCTACTGGGCCCTGCACACCTGGCCCAGACCAGCCAGCAGTTGGGCGAACTTTCAATAAAGGAAAGTGTGCACCCCTCGGCAGGGTATTCTGGCCTGTGCAGGCAATGCGGCCATACTGCTGCGTCGTCGCACAAGCAGCTGCGCTAGCGCTTCTGGCCGGGGCACACGCGGGTGCACAGAGGTGAGAGGGGCGCTGCGGTGGCAGCCGGCGCACGGTGGCCATAGCTGGGCTACGCCTGTGGAAGTAGGTCATGGCCATGGTGGTCTTCGGGTGGGAGGCGCATGCAGAGGGGAGACAAGGTGTGATGAGGAGAGGAGAGAGAACGTACCTGGTGTATGCGGGGGGTCGGCATTGGTGATGACGTCACGTCTTCAACTTCGATGTGATCCAGTTGCATGAACGTAGTTAGATAGGCTGAGTAGCGTAGGGTGGGCGCTGAGCGCAAGACAGTAAGAACAACATTGGATACTGTTTTGGTGTGACCAGAGAGCGTCGGCATTGACATTTGAGTTCATTATATTGCTCTTACTTGGACGGTATCTTGGTGCATTGTGCTCTCTGCTTGGTACACGACTATCTGGGCAGCTTCGTGATTTTGCAGTTTGGATCTCTGTCTATCACTCTCGCTCATATTCCTTGCACAATGGACAGGTATTGCACATTTCACTCAAACCAATGGTCATGATTCATCCGGCTAGTGAAGGGTTCGTGCATGGGAGTAACTGTCGAGCAACACATCACAAAAAGAAAAAGAAAAGAGAGAGAGAGAGAGAGAGTGAGAGAGAGAGAGAGAGAGAGAGAGAGAGAGAGAGAGAGAGAGAGAGAGAGAATGACCAGGAGAGGCGCAGGCCTTTTTTTCTGTTTTTTTTCAGTGGACCTTGTGACTAAGATGGACCCCCTCTTCGTACGATTATTTCATTTGGAAGACTGGAATTCTCTGTGGATGGGTTCTCACTGTTGCCGGTGATAGTCGGGGGCTACCCTTTGAACCTTAGGTACCTGACTGCTGCTGGGAGCGACTCGGGTAATGACAAAACAAAGAAACAACAGCAGAACGGCACCCACACTTGGTACCATTCCTGTACAGGGTCCTTGGAAAGGTCCGAATTCCCAAAGGCTCACCAGCTGATCGGTGCTTTTTCTTATAAGAAAGTGATACGCGGCTGCATCACCCTCTTCTATCAATGCCCCGTCCGAGGAGGCTGTGGACTCGCGAGATAACATTTCCCTCTTCAGTGACGACCTGTTCTCTCGCTGCTGCATCGCTGCCTACGAGGATCTCATGACTTCCATTGCTTCACATACTCAGTGCTAGTATGGTGCAGGTCCCGCTATCTCCTTGTTGGCTTCTCCGGATGTGCTACCCAGTAGGTGCATGGTCGCACGTGCTGTTATATCAAAGAACTTCTGCAAGATGAGTTTCCTACCTCCTCTATCTTTCCCAGCCACTACTGACCCCCTCCGCCCTCTCCCTCTCTTGCTCCCCTATTTATTCTGATGGAAGTGTGGTGACAGTTATCTTGAGCTCTTGCGTAGCCCATGATGAGTACCAGTTTGGCTCTGGTCGTAACATGCCGGGCAAAAGCCGAATGTCGTGAGTCGTCGAGTGCTTGAGGCTATGATTGGCGCTCCCCTCTCCAATAATGGCTGATTGATTCATTGACAATGGCAGATTGTTCTTCTTGAATTTTTCGTATACCGCCTGTGCGCTTGGGCTTCAGGACTTCATCGCGTTGACAGTTCGTTTGTGAGTTTCCGCCCTCTCCAATATAGCTCCATCTCTTCCCCATTCCCTCCTTACCCTCTTCTTCTTCTTCTTCTTCTTCTTCTTCTTCTTTTTTCTTTTCTTTTTCATCTTACCTCTCTTCCCTTACTCCGTCCCCTTCGTTGTCATCTTCTCAAAAACCATCTACCTCTCTAGCTTGCCTTCAAGTTACTGTTTACGCAATGGAATGGTTGGATGTTGTAACGTGGTCCCTTGATTTCCTGATCTTTTGGTTACAAGTCCTGCGTACTTTTGTTGCAATCTCATATGGTACCTTGAGATATGGTATTGCGAAATGCCAAAGAGATGATGCTTGGAGACGTGAAAGAGGCAATAGGCGGGATCGTTTTCACTGATTCTAGTACACTCACTCTTTCTCTCTGATAATGCTGATAGAGACATATAGTTAACCCTATGCTCTAGTACTCTCATTGAATCGTGCAATAACCATAATAGGAATTACATTGCTGTCGTGTGGTTGCATATTTCCCATCCTATATCCTATATCCTATATCCTGTATGTTTATCCTATATCTTATCCTCCATGTCATACCTCCCCCAGCCAATGATATGAGTTGATTTGTCGTTTGTTTGTGTATTTAACCTCTGATACTTTTCTTCCTCGTCGCTCAAATACTTGGTCCATCCTTGTTGAATTGTTGTTTTGAACGATATGTAGCCCTCCTGGGAGGAAGTACGTTTGTTTTTTGGTTCTTGTGCAATCACCATGTCAGCCCCCCGTGTATGCTCCAACTGTAACTTGCCTGGGCATTTTGCCCGTGAATATCCTTATCGACAATCATCTTTCTCCAATAATCCAATGTCTTCTGCCCCTGTTTTTCCTCTGCTCCCTCCTCCCCCTCCTCCCCCTACTAACTCGTCACTCACTCCCAGCAATAGACCTCTCCAGTCACAAAATCCCCTCGTTGCACTCCCCCCTCCCCCTTCTCCCTCCACCGGAACTGGTGGTTCTGGACAGTTGGTTCCATGTCAGCCATGGTGCAAACTGAATCAAGAGAAACTGGATAGGGTTTACGAATTTATGGTTTCAGAACTCGAGGCCAGATTGGAGGCCATTCGACAGAAGGAAAAGCAACTACTTGAAGAAAAGGAAAAATGAGAAATCAAAGAAATGGAAGGAAAAGTGGTTAAGAAAGCAAAAGAGAGACGATATTTCCAGGAGAGGATTGGCTTGATTGTTGGTACAAAGATCAATGATGCATGTGAGTTGTTTTTGGGCAGATCTGATGGTGGACGCGAGAGTGATGTGGGAATTGAGCGAGGGAACAGAAGAGCTGAAGTCGACGGATTGCGCCCCAGACAAGACATGGGTGCGGAGAGGGCGGGAATGGAGAAGCAAGATTGGATGACCTTACTCTTCGACCTTCTCCCCCCAAAAGAACTTCGGAGAGATTGACAGGTAAGGTGGCGGCTACTGAACGGGCTGAGTTTATCAAAGAAACCAAGAAATCGCTCAAGCGTCTGTGCAAGTGTGGCCTTCAGATACTTTGCGCCAAGGAGGGTATCACGTTCTCCACTTGTGAACAGGCTATTAATGACATCGCTGAACACCATGCCTCTCTGGCTTTCAACTTTCGACCACCTTGGCGAGGTAAGCAAAAAGTTATGCCGTCTGAGCAGGGCGCAGACGCCGACGAAGGAAAGGAAGAGGAACGAGAGTCTGCTGAGATTCAAGAGACACAACGTGTCGATCTTGAGCATAATGATGAGGAGGCCCTTGCAGAAGATTAGCAGGCTTGCTCGAGCGTACATGATATTTGGCACCTTTTGCTTCGATGTGTTTCTATTAGAAAGACGAAAGAGGCGTTGCTGGACAACTACCTCTCTTATCTCGTCCGCTCCTTGTTGATCACTCTCATTATTCTTGAACAAATCCCATGGGTTTACAGTTCATTGATTGTCTGACGCATCTATTACTATCGGGTTATGACCTATGACGATGTTGTGGACCTCTTATATATTGCCTTATCTCTCCATTCAATAGACATTGCTATATCGGATGTACTACTAGAACTCTAGAGGTAAGATGGACGGAGCATGTTCGACGGACTCTTGTGCAGGAAACCGGGTACGGATCGTGTAGAAACCATAAGCTTTACAAATGGGTCATGAACAGGTATTGAACACTATGTTGCTATAAGTGTCGCTATATATTTCGGAACAGACCTATTGTTGGCAGAAAAGAGGTTCATTAGCCAGGTCTCTCCCTATCTCAATTCAAAACCCTCAGCAAAAAGGAGAAAGAAGCCGAGACTTGGGAAAAGGTAAAGGAGGAACCGTGCTAGAAGAATGGATCAAAGCTCTACTAGTCTGAATCGTTTAACTCAAGGGCCTAGCCGTTTAACTTTTTTCGTTTGTTCTTTCGACACTACATCTATTTCTTTGATTCAAATCTTCAATGAGTGTGTTCGATTTGGTCTCAAGAGTTTCGTGATGGTTTGTAAAGGAGGAAGTATTCTGGCAGATAATTGGAAGGTTGTCAAGCAAGTATTCAGAGCCTCTGTGTTATGTAGCAACTGTGACCAGAATACATGAAAAATTATAAAGCATGTTTGTCTGGTGGCAACACAGTTCTCATAGAATCAGTTGCAAAGTTTGTTCTCGCTCTGAGTCACTTAAGAAACCGATCTCTCGCTTGCTTAGTCATCCGTATGAGAGGAAGTCACTATATGGATGGACGCTAGACAATTTACTATTTGCATATGATTCTGTTTGGAATTTCTCAAAAAAATATTCTACACAGTCGCTAAGAGTCATCCTGTCCAATGTAATCCAACAGAGGTTCAGATTTTGTCCCCGGAAACAGCTTATTATGAGAATAAGATATTCACATCTGGTCTCAAAATCAGATGTTTGTGCTCTGTGTGTGCGATTGGTTCGCATGTATACTAGTCTGCTACCACTGGCAAGCATGCTGGCAAGTAGAATGAGCGTCGTCTGACTAAGAACAAAAGTTTGGCTTGCATAATGCATAATTTCCAAGAGTTTTCTCGACAAACTACGGTGTCATGTTCCTGTACTCAAATTAGCTCTAGACTTCCACAGCTAAAAACTTCTTTCTCCATATATCGCTCCCTTGCTTTACACTCTTCTTCCCTTGGTTTTCATTTCGCTGCTCCTTCTCCTTCTCCTTTTTTTTCTCCTTTTTCTTCTTTTTCTTTCTCTTCGTCTCTTTCTTCTCCCCTTTCTTCGTCCCCCTCCTCATATTCTCCCTCTCCTTCTTCTTCTTCTTCTTCTTTTTCTTCTTTTTCTTTTTCTTTTTCTTCCTTTTCCTTTTCTTCTTTTTCCTCCTCTTCTTCCTCTCTCTCACCTATTCTTTCCCCTCATCTACATCCTCGAAGTTCCAACTGTCGTCAACTGACTCTGGTCTTTTCCTTCCCTCCCTAAATGGCCATATCTCCTTCAGATCCAAGGGATGTAGAGTTTTTGCCTCGTTGGCTGCTCAATTCTCGTAATATTCCTCCCCCTTCCCTTTCTTATAGATCATTTTTCCTACAATCTCAGATTCCAGATCTCCTCCATCAAATTTCTCGTATACCTCCTTCACTTACATTACCCAACTACATAGCACGCTCCGACTTAGAATCGTGCTTCACTAAATCATTTCAGACTTCTCCCACACAAGATCTTTCTTATTTGTGCTCACGACGTTCTGATCTCCACTCCCGTCCCTTTGATCTAGAGAGTGTCACTTTGATTAAGAATCTTTTTGATGGATTAGTTCTGCCCACTATAGACCATAACCCAGGAGATACTTATTTCTGTTGTGCTTCTATCTGTAAGTCTGGCATGGATTTTCTCTTCTTGAGCAAACCGGGTTTCAAAGAAGAACGAAGGGTAGTATCGGTAAGGGATACGCTATTCCCAAGTGCGAGGATCAGGGTCCTCCGTAGGCCTATGGGGCCCTGTTTCCAGCCGTGCCCGCCCTAAGTGAAGGCGGGCCTGGCTTTTTGCAAGAGGCCCTCGACTGTTAATTTCATATTTGGGGTCCAGGCAGTTGCGACGCGCCAGTTGGTTGAAAGAAACACAGGCCGAGCAACAAAGACATTTCCACGGCCTACCGGGCCTTTCCAAAGAATGCAGGCCCTGGGCGTGATTCGCAGCCTCATACAGAGACAGTTGGGCGCCCAACCGAACGAGGCCCAGCAGCCCAGTAGCTGCTGCATCCAGGCAGCCTCCTGGGGCCTTCCGGAAGCTTCTGGGCCCAGGCCAGAGCAGCCAGGCTGCTTGAGCAGGCCAATTCTTTCCATAAAGGAAAGAGCTCGGCCCTGGCTGCCTCATTCAGGCACTCGCATGCTGGCGGCAGCGCTGCTGGAGCTAATGCTTGAAGGCCGCTGCTAGCGCTGAGAGGCGAGGTGCAGCACGTGCAGTCGTGCAGAGGAGGAGGGCGCTGCTGAGGGCAGCGCCATAGCCCAGCCACCATAGCTGGTGGGCTTGGACTACAGTGAAGCGCAGGGGTGGTCTTCGGGTCAAAGAGAGGACAGGTGTGGTGTAGTCAGGGGATGAGTGAAGGATGATGATGATGATGATGATGATGATGATGTGAGGGCACATACCTTGTATTGGCGATAGTCTGCATGGGCGACATCTTCAAGTACTTCGGGCTGCCGCCGATGTCAACAGTTGTATTGTCTTTTTGTAGTCTGTAGTAGCTGTGTAGGAGCAGGATGGGCGCTGAGCGCCAAGTGTGAGTGTGAAGGAACTGGACTCTTGTGTTGAAGGGAGAAAGTTTGCTCTCCATGAACATTGGTTTTCAGTGCTACGAACTTCCATTGGTGTATTATTGGTGCAATGCTGCTCTCTGGACACAGTGTGACTATCTGGCTTTCAATGTGATGGTGTGAACTGGAATTGTCATCTCGCTGTTGCTTATTTTCCTTGCACAAGCACAAAAATATTGAAAAATGGAGGCCTATATGTCCAACTACTTATGAACCTTCTCTTCAGGCATGCAAGTGAGTCACGTCAACACTTAACTGTCTAATACAACAGCTACCAAAGGATCTGTTTTAATCTATTTAGCATGAAGGAACCTATTCCGGTTGTTCTCAGGATTAACAAGACACTCTGGGTTAACTGCACTATCATTGCCGTTGGATTTGATGTAAAAGAAATGTTTTGTAAACTACCACACGATTTAATCCTATAGGCAGTGAGATGGATTATGTATTTCTTCCAACAGCGACGGTTTGAGGGGAGTATGGATTCGAAAAAAAAGGAAAGGAGCTAAACTTTCCGGTTGTACGTCTATTCCTTGTTTTTCCTTTATCACCTTCTCTGAGATCAGGGACTTCGTTTCCTTCGATCTTTCTCATACTTACGTCTCTGCGATAGCAAAGATTATGAGGCAGGAAGTAGAAGTAACCATGGGCAAATCCTCCCGTCCTGCCCTCGCTGCTATCCTATGCATATACAATGAGTATCATTTCCTAGCCTCCCTTGGAACTGATTGTGCTCTAATTCAGGGAGTACGTCTGCTAGATGATGTCTCCGTCATTGTAAAATACCGGGTTGATTGCAAGTTGTCAAAGCTGAAGGCTGAGTTCTTACTCACAATTTTCAGGAGCTGCTACGATCATCATCTTACCTTGGAACATACAAGCTCTGGTAACCAATGGGACTTCCTCGGATGTAGAATCAATCTACTCCCTTGTCGTCTGCACATTTGTTGTTCACCAGTTCATTGAAACCGGGCAGCGCTAGTTGTTTCATCTGCATTACCAGGCATGACAAGAGTCTGTCTCATTCTCCAGCAAGCAACAAAAGATAGCGGTCATTACATCGTTTCTACATCCGATGAATTTTTTTACTACCTTCCCGGCATCCGAACTTAGAATGCGTAGTTATCCTGACAGTATTTTTGATAATGCGATCCGTTTCTTTTCGGTCGGGGGCTACCCTTCGAACCTTAGGTACCGAACTGCTGCTGGGAGCGACTCGGGTAACGAGAAAACAATGAAACAACGGCGGAACAGCACCCGCACTCGGTACCAGTCCGGTACAGGGTCCTTGGAAAGGTCTGAATCCCCAAAGGCTCAGCAGGTGATCGGTGCTTTTTCTTATAAGAAAGTGATACGTGGCTTCATCACCCTCTTCTACCAACGCCCCGTCCGCAGAGGCTGTGGACTCGCAAGATTACATTTCCCTCTTCAGTGACGACCTGTTCTCTCGCTGCTGCTTCACTGCCTATGACGATCTTGTGAGTTCCATCGCTTCACATACTCAGCGCTAGTATGGCGCAGGTCCTGCTATCTCCTTGTTGGCTTCTCCGGATGTGCTACCCAGTAGGTGCACAGTCGCATGTGCTATTATATCAAAGAAGGATTTGCGCAAGATGAGTTTCCTACCTCCTCTCTCTCCCACCGCTACCGACCCCCTCCGCCCTCTGCCTCTTTTGCACCCCTATTTATTCTGTTGGAAGTGTGGTGATAGGTATCTTGAGCTCTTGCTAAGCCCCTGATGAGTACCAGTTTCGATGCTGGTCGAAACATGTAGGGCAAAAGACGAATGTTGTCAATTGTCGAGTGCTTGAGGCTACGATGGGCGCTCCCCGCGCCAATAATGGCTGATTGATTCATTGACGATGGTGGATTGTTCTTCTTGAAAAATTTTCGTATAATGCCTGTGCGCTTGGACTTCAGGACTTCATCGCGTTGACAGTTCGTTTGCGAGTTTCCTCCCTCTCCAGTCTAGCTCCATCTCTTCCCCATTCCCTCCTTATCCTCTTCTTCTTATTCTTCTTCTTCCTTTTCTTCTTCTTTTCTTCTTATTCTTATTCTTCTTCTTCTTCTTCTTCTTCTTCTTTTCTTCTTCTTCTTCATCTTACCTCTCTTCCCTTACTCCGTCCCCTTCATTTCTCAAGAACCATCTACCTCTCTAGCTTGCCTTCAAGTTACTGTTTACGCAATGGAATGGTTGGATGTTGTAACGTGGTCCCTTGATTTCCTGATCTTTTGGTTACGAGTCCTGCGTATTTTTGTTGAAAATCTCATATGGTACATTGAGATATGCTATTGCTAAATGCCAAAGAGATCATGCTTGGAGACGTGAAAGAGGCAATAGGCGGGATCATTTTCACTGATTCTAGTACACTCACTCTTTCTCTCTCATAATGCTGATAGAGACATATGGTTAACCCTATGCTCTAGTACTCTCATTTCTCTCGATTTAAATGCATATTCACACTGACACTTTTTCACTTATTTCTGGACAGAACTGTGGCCAGATGCGTATAAGTCCAGCCGTAAATGTGGTCGGGTACATGAGATTGTGGTAATTTGAGTCAGCCCTAAGTGTGGCATACCGTGTGTGTGTGTGTGTGTGTGTGTGTGTGTGTGTGTGTGTGTGTGTGTGTGTGTGAGAGAGAGAGAGAGAGAGAGAGAGAGAGAGAGAGAGA